ACTAGCTAAACTCATTTCTCCAACAACTACTCTGATTTCCTAAAATTAAGCAAAGTGACAAGCTTGTGCTTGCATAAATTTTAGTCATGATTCTATTGATTTTGAGGGCAGGTATAGTTCACTCTTTATCAGAAGCCAAAAAAAATCTGCAATAAAGAGAGAGCCATGATTGTATTTATACCCAAAAGCAGTAAAGTGAAAGAGAAGATAACACCATCTGTTGGCAGAAATAGTAAAAAAAAGTGGAAAATTAAATTAATAGAATTTTAAATGCATTAGGAAGGACTTGATTAGAATTAAAATCAAAAGTTTCAAGAAAATATATTTCACCAATGGAAACAGACTTTTGGATAATTTCTGCAGACCCAAAGTCAAAATTATAAATGAATTTTCAACTACGATTAGCTATCAAAGACTTGTTAATTTTGCCTTTTCAGATAAGAGATTTGTGTTCCTTAATGCAAAACTTTAACGCTCTTTTAGTTTGGCCCATATTTCTCCAACAACACAGAGAAGATATGCTATAAATTCCATATGAACATAAAGTCAGAAATAGAATCATTAAGAATCGAACCATGGATTTAATTGATATGTGAGAAATAGACTTGAAAACTGAATTTGTAGAGAATCTGCTCAACAGGATGAAGTGGAAGCATGGCAAAGTTGTTAATGTTATTTCTAACATTGTAATGTCTTCCTTGAATGGCAAGGTGACTTTTTTTTAGGGGGGGGAAGGCGAAAATCCTCAGTCAGTGACAACTGATCTCAAATAAAAGTTCATTAACAAGCAGGGATTCTGAGAAACAAACTTTGACAGTGTGAAATACATAATAGTAAAAAGAAGCCAGTTTTTGCTTAGCCAGGTGATATAACTTAGCATGAGGAGGCAAACAAATAGAAAAAGGTTTATGGTAAACAGTAGTTCTGAAATTGTATTCATAGCATATTACAAGAATATCAAGGAAGAAAAGAGTATTGTCAGATTGTTTCAAATATGAACTGAACGTTTAGGCCACTTTTATAACAGATAAAATCTACGATATTTTTTTTTCCATCAAATCCATCAAAAACTGCTGCACAGTAAACTACATAGTCATCTACATAGTGAATCCAGAGACGAATAGATAGTTTCTTAAATAATTTGACATTGAAACAGTGAATGTAAATGTCAGCAAGTATATGACTGAGAGGATTAACCATAGCTAATCCTTCAATTTAGTGATAATATTCCTTTTGGAAAACAAAGTTGATTTAACTTAAAGAGACTTTAGTAAAAGAAATGAAATCTTCAATTTCACTATGCATAAAATTGAATTCTCAAAACCTAATTTCACGACATTTTAGTGCTCCTTCACCTGGAACATTGTTAAACAGTGATTTAGCTTCAAACGAACCATAATGAAGTGCAGCAAGCTCATTAACAACTTCAATAAAATTTTCTACAGTGTGAATATTGTTAGAATGTAAAAGAGAAAATATGGAAATAAAATATTTAGCCAAATGATATGATGTTGTTCTAAATTGGAAACTATAATTCAAAATGGAATTTAAATTTTGTGGCCTTAGGGGAACACATAAAACCTAGCACAGTTAGCAGTACGTGGAATGGGTGACCTTTTTAAACTGAGTTGGGAGTATATGAGAAGATTTAACAGCTGCTTCAACTTTTGTCAAGTCGGAAGCTGCAGGATCTATAGAGATTGAGCAGTATGGCCTTCATTAATGAGTTTCAGGACTCCATCAATGTATGTATGTTTGTTCATAACAATTATTTGTCCAGCTTTATCAGCTTTCGAAATTAAGACTTTCCTTTCTTCTTGGTTAAGATGAAAGTAACAATTTGTTAATAAAAATTCATGTTATGAGCAATTAAGTAGCAGAATATATCTTTCTCTATTTATGAAATTTTACAAAATTTAAAAGCCTTTCAAATATGGGCAATGATTTGAGGAACTATAGGTTTAGATGTCTTTGATAAGTTGAGGTTATATTTTAATACTTTCATCTGATCCTCCAAGTGATTAACATTAGAGATATTAAGAATGAGTAACATTAGAATTAAGAGATTAACATTAGAATTAAGAACATTAGAGATATAAAGAATGGGACGATTAACAAGATGAATGGAACTAGCTGACTGGAGAGCAAGCTTTAGGAATTTAGAAACAAGGACCTTTTTTAGGACGTTAATAAGTAGTTTTGGTTCAAGACCAAGATTTATGATAAAATAAAGAAACGTTTCAAGTAGAACCGGTAATTTTTTAAATGAAGGTACTATAATTCATATTAAATTTCAGACAAACATTTCCGAGTGCTTCTTATAATGAGACAATGACAATTTGAATATGCATAAATTTTTAAATGAGAACGGAAGACTTAAGATTATATTTAACTTGTATAAATTTGGGAATGATATTCTGATGTTGACATTTTACCAAAAGTGGAGATGGTTTAAGAATTTTAAGAATTTCATATGCTTAAGGCCCAACTTACAAAACTGGTTCCCGTCTGTTCACATATTATGAAAGGGATACAAGCATAAAAAAGGGTGAACACAAAAATTCACTGCTTTTTCATTGCACCAAAATAATTAAAAGAACTCAGCGTACTAGAGAAGTATGAAATAAGTAAAGCGCAAAATGGTTAAAATAATATTTTAAAAAAAAATTACGAAAGCACGACAATACAAACCAAAATAACACTACTGATGTAGAAAAATATTAACAAAGATAAAACAAGAAAATATGATAAAATGATCAGAGAGGAATATAAACAAAAAGATGAATTTACAGACTTCTAAAAATGAAAGAATCCAGCAACTATGTGGAATGGTGAAACCAAAAAAACAAAATGTCACAGCAGGGCAAATGATCCAATTTGGAAGAAATTTCTCAAAAATATCAGATGATAGCAAAAATGCTCTGATTGTTGAAAGATTAAAAGCCTTACTTTGTAACAAATACTCTTTGTATTCTCAACGACAAATCTAAGAGACTTTAAGCTTAAAATCGACTTAAAAAAAGTGGAACAGCACAATATATCTGAATGAGATACAGCACAATATATCTGAATTTAAACAGATTAAAATATATTCTGGACACAAGCATAATTCTGAAAGACGATGACATATAAGCCAGTGACAGGACTCAACATTTTACAAGATTTGGGTATTCATTTCCCCTCCCCCCCTGAAGATAGCATTATTATAATTTGAACTTAGCAACAACATAATATAAATCTCTGAGGAGATTAAATTCGGAAACGAAAATATCTTAGAAGGAATATGAATAGCAAAAAGACCTTGAAAACGATAATAAGTATCAAGTTGTCCTGTTATATAAAAACAGAAGGATGCTATATTTATGTATAATTTGTAATATAAAATATTCATTTTGTTCTTGGATGTGAAACAAGTACAAGAAATTACAGAGTTGAAAAATCACAAACACATGCACAGCAAAACTTAACCTTTGAAAAAACATGAAATTTACTCTCATAATTTATATTACATCCAGCCTAAACAAATGTAGTATTAATATTATAAAAACTAGACTAAATTCATAAATAAGTAATAAAAATTAAACCTTGCAAAATGCAAGTTTTTTCTTAATAATACATATGAAAGATAAAATATTAAATTCAATTTATCACAGCTCCTTAATGCTCTTTTTTAATTTCATTATTTCTCTTTTCTATCCTGTAAGGATCATATTAATTTCATTAACAATTAAATTTTAAGTTCATTTCCTGTCGATTCTTAACTTCAACTTACTACTTCTGGCCAGAACGTAGTTTTAGAATCACGTCTGAATACATAATAAGGAAGAGCGGTATTTAACCGTTAAGTTCCACTTGCCAAGTTAGAGAGAAGAGTTTCTGATTAGTGCGCATCTACTTTTTTGACTACTCTCTCTCAAAATTGTTATTATGCTTGGCCGTACTCAGGCCCTTGATAGCTTCGCAGTCAATTAGCTTTAAAGGGCCAACTCGGTTAGAATCTTGATAGCTTTGGATATATCTCTTTAGTTTACTTCTTAGCCTAGAGAACCTGAATCAATTTTAATCTAAGTTCAAATACAAGTGTCCGCTTTATTTGCACACTCCAAGACGGAGTTCTCTTAAATGTTATCTGAATAATAAAGGGTTATTTACCCTTTCATCTTGTTGTTTCTTATTGCACGAACTCAAGCGATTATTCGCTTACTAGTTTTTAAGATTCCTCACGTTCAACAGCAACTTAGCCTTTACAAAGTGGAGAACTCTACAATCCAAAAATAATAAATCTATAATGTATAATAAATATAATATATAACATATAATAAATCTCTCCTAGCTGCATCATTTAAAAATTAACCCTTGTCACATGGTTCTTATGCAATGCTATCGATGCTGCTACTTACATAATGCTTCAAGAAATAATATTAAAATTTGCAAACTAAACCTTCAGCGACCAATCAAAATGAAATCCAACCAAAAATGAATCAATTTTAATCTAACCTTTTTAATGGAATCTGTGCATTCTTATCTCCTTTGTTGCTTTGCTAAGTTACCTCCTTTTTTACTTCACAGAAACTGATTGTTAAAAATATTTTTTAAAAAAAGAGCACATATATGATCAAGAATGGACATGCAAATCATGTTTATTAAGTTTAAAAGGTTAGATTAATATTTATTCAGTTAATAATGTATTGAATCAGCACAATTTTAGGCATTGTCATTGAATCGTCTGCCATCTACATCATCCACCATAAAAATTATTTTTTATTATACATATTTTCAAAGTTGAGAAATTATAAAATACTTTATTTTGAAAATGGATCTCTTATTAGCTTTCTTACACCATAATGATGGCTGTATCAATCATAAATAACAAAATTACTTCAAAGAGGATTACTGGATCATGTACACTGAAAATTAGATCCCTAATGAAACAGCAAAACTAGACGGCAAAGCAACACATGAAGAAAAGTAATAAAATTTTATACTCCAAATAATAAAATTCAAATGCTTAAATATTAATTAACATTAAAAGTACACTTACCATACCAAAACCTTGCTTGAGCATCCCATAAATATGCAAGTATAGATCTAGCAGATTCCCAACACTTAGGTGTGAACGTATATCCATTTATTTTATAATAATAACGATATGCTTTCAGATATAAAGCTGAAATGTACACTAAAGCCAGCATAAAAAATGGTAATATAAAGGTTACCTATAAAATGACAGAAGGAAAATAAGTAAATAAATATACAACTCTACCTAAATGTTTGCTGTAATTGAACTTCTGTGAAAAATTAATTAAATTCTAATTCTTATTCTGTGTAATTTTTTATATTTTCAATACATTTTGCATCAAAACGAGAGTTTTGCTTGTAAAGTAAAAAATGTTTTAAAGCTTTGAAACATTTTAGAAAAGATACAGAAAATGTATTTTACCATGAAAATGAACTTACTAAATTGATCAAATAACTAGTATCTTGTACTTATTTAAAATTATATTATAGCATACTAATTCTATTAATTAAAAATTAGCATGTAAAATTTTATTCAAAAATAGCAAGGCACCTCAGAAATTATATGACAACATTCATTACATTATACATACAGGAATCAGAAGAAACAAATTGCCATTGGAAATGGTTTAAGTTTATCACTTCATTCAGGATATATGCGATTTCACAATCCTGTGATGTCACTTTTGGTTGGCTGAATGAAGGGTCTCTCATGGCTTACTTTTGGCAATATTCTCTCTTGTCTGCAGATCACAAGACTTGCAACCAGCTCATTTTATCAAACATGGCTAAGTAGTGAAATCAATTATATACTTGACAATAACTGAATGAGAGTAATCATTTTTGAGAAGTTGCCATGATGCAGTGCTGCTTGCATTAATATAAGAGGTTGACAACCTGAACATTCGACCTCTTAAGTGTGGACCATGGTACCCCCCCCCCCACACAAACAAACAAAAAGAAGAAGAAAAGAAACATCATGATTTTTGAAGTTGCATACTTCCAGAACAAAACAGCATATCAAAATCATTCCAAAAGCAATTTGTTTCTTCTAACCCCCTGAAATACCCTATAAGGACATCCTACATAAATAGCATATAAATACCTAAAATTATTTAAAGCATAAAAATTTTAGAATGCAATAGTAAACAGAAGAATATTTTACGAAAACTTAATATTTTAGAAAATTTCACAAGACTTTTGGTTTATAAAATTTAAACAATCTATTTTGCAACATTTCTTCCAATCTTAAATATATGTATATTTGTAAATGGTCCAAGGAATGCTTTGTCTGTTTACTGAGAAGCATTTTTGATTGCAATAAATTGCACTAAATCAAAAAAGGGACATAATTTATGCAAAATAGGCAATATTATAATTGTAAATATCATACAATACCTTCCTTTTCAACAGCAAGTAGACAAAAGTCCTGTTTGACTTTTGATAATACATAATACTGCACGCTTCACTTAAATTATACCTATTCTTGTTGCTAATTTTTGTCGATTCACTTGGAATGTCCATTTACAGTAAGCAGCTTTTACAGTCTGCAGCCACTTCTGTTAATGTTCTATGAATTATCATCAGATAAAAACGCAATATATAATCTTACAATTATATTCAAATAAATAAATCTTTGCTGTGTTAACATTTCAGTAAGACTCAATACTAAAAGGAATCATGATTTTATTTTTTATGTTGAACAGTAAACAAGAACTGAAATTTTATTTATTCATTTAAAATTTTCAAGTTTTAAGATTCTGTACCAGATATCCAAAAATAAATTATGTACATGGTAATTAGTTTTCACAATATGTTAAAAAAAAGTCTTGTTTTGATAAAGTAAATGTAAGATTTGTCTAAAATGCATATCAGGTATAGTTTGCAAGGGAGCCCAATAATATCAGTTTTGCGGCATTATAAATTAAATCGTGTAATATTACGAATACAGTTTTTTACTGCCATAACTATCAGGGCTGTGAGTATGGAGTCTGGCAGATTTTGGGGTAAAAGGAGTCGGAGCTAGAGTCGCTAAAAACAGGTCGACTCGGACTCCAGTTTTTGTTGGACAGTATGAATTGGAAATGAAATTAAAATGAATTTAAAAAAAATAAATGACAAGCTGAGGTATTATTTTTATTAATGGATTATATACATTAATAGTTATTTTCTATTTTATTGACACATTAATAAACAAATATAAGAGAAGAGGATGGATGGATTTGCCATTAGTGATTAAACTAATTCATTTAGTTACAAATCTCACTGGTAAATTTAGGTAAGCAGCAATAGCAGCAAGAACTCCCAAAATTGATGCCATTCTTACGAAGCAAGCAGGAAAAGGAGCAATTATTGATCCAGTAATGCAATAAGGAAGTATATATTTGATGATAAAGAGATTGTTAGAATTAGGACCTTTTTTAGAAGATGTAGATAACTCTAATGTTTCACTAACAGAAAGACTATGGAATGAAATTGCAGAATTGGGAACTCTTCTTTCTACACTGTATATAGCCACAAAAAAAGCTGCAATCTGAAGAATCGACAGGAGGCAAGAATGGAAGAATGTGATGTTTTGTTCTTTCTGAAATGGAGGGTTTATTGCAGAAGGAATCATTTCTCCAAAGAAGAAAAAAAACTAGTTTGCTAGACAATGAGCTATTGCTGGGTTCAATACGTATAGATCCGAAACACCAAATTTTCTTGGATGACGAACAAATTAAAAAGGCAAAGAAAGCCATTTATGAACTTTCATTTTAAGAATGAATTATTCTCAGAACAATTGGAGGATTTGAATCAAGAAAGTCAAACTGCAGACATTACAATTGAGTCTCTAACATCCTCTTCCAAAGATGAATTAGATTTTGAGAAATATTTTTTGATAATATTCAAAAGGCTAAGGCAAAGCGAATGAAAATAAAGAACCAAGAGCCTTTAGGTATAAAAATGAAAAAATACAGACAAGACTTCTACATGGCCTTTGAAGAAAAAAGAGAAATACGATTGCGCTTGCAAGACACCTCTTTTAGAACTTATAAAAAATCTATCCTGAAAAGTTAAAAGAAGTTAGCCCTAACAGCAACAGCTCTTCCTCCTACTCAAGTTAGTGTGGAAAGACTTCTCAGCTCTGAAGTGCATCAATCGGATCTATGGCCATCCAACAAAGAAGGTCTTGCCAAAGCTATATTGTTTCTTAGAAATAACTAATGCCAGTTTTTCCATTTCATAATAAATATTAATTAATATAAATAATTCTATACAAAATTGGCCATCAATTTTTTCCTGTAGCATCTATTACTTCTTTTATGTTAAAAAAATAAGCTGTAACCCACGTGTATATGTTTATACATATATATATATATATGAGGAAATCCGAGTCTTTAAAATTCCAGGAGTCAGAGTCTGTCATTTTCTCTAACGACTTCACAGCCCTGATAACTATGAATGTTAATGTAATATTTTTGAAAACATTTGTGTTTAAGATTGTATTTTAGTTTTTGGATACTATTATTTTATGCATTTTTTCATTTTTATTTGTCTGTTGCCCTTTATGCAATATTTCAGAATGTATTTTTCTGTAAGCGAATTTATGGCCACATATTAAATTTGTTAAATGTTTATTTCCTGTATACAGTTACAGACCTGTATACATTTCCTGCATACAGTTAGGTAATTCTGAAATGATTAATGTTACATTTAAATTATGAAAATAACTCAATTAGAAGCTGAGTTACAGGTAGAAATTTCCCTAAAGGGCTTTTGACATGACTGACATGGTCCATAATGGGCTTTTGACATATTTTTGACATGAAGTTAGTAATATTTTCTCATCAACTAGACAATTTTCTAGAAATGTCTGGAAAATGCAATTTTTAAGACTCAAGAGTAATTTTTCCTGAAGATTTCGGAAATCTGGACAACTCTAAATAAACAGCTGCATCGAATTACGAGAATCAGTTCAGGATACTTTCCAACTAGCTTTTTTTGAGATTGCTAATCGTTGCAAAAGTCTACAGTCCTAAGGCCTTTACTTTTATATTTCATGTAACTTTTGCAAAACCTAGTAAAATGAAGAAACAAAATTGCACTGAAATGTGCAGAAAAATTGAGGTAATGCCTGGTCAAGCAGGTGCTGCCATCTATTGTGTGTGGAGCGCATTAACTATAACAACAATTAAAAAATCCAATAATATAAGAAAAATCATAACATGTTTGTAATAAAATCAATATTCTTATGGCTAAAAGATGCTTGAATATCATAATCAAGAAAATCTTGAGTAATGGCATAATTACAAGTATTTACAAATATACAGTAGCATTAAAAAATTCTCTATGTACAGTGGCATTATTTATTCATAAAAGAAAATTTTTGTGTTTAATAATAAAATCAAGTTATTTGAAGCAATATTGCAGGTAATCTTGGTGAAATTAAGAAAACAGTAACCTTACAGTACTACTGAGGATTGAACTCACTACCGGTACTTAAAAGGTAACAGGACCTATGCCTGCACTCTACCGCTCAGCTATGTCTTGTCTCTTCTGATATGATCTATTTTTAATCCCCTATATAAAAGCATTTTCATGACGGCCAGTGCAATGCTCAATTTATTTTCATTATTTTTATACTCATAGTGTAATTCATTGGTAACGAATTCTGTGAATTCTTCAAAGCTTTCTTGTGTATTACGATTTTCTCTTTTTTGATCGTTTTTTATATTTGTTTTTGGGGTTCCTGCAGTTACTGCTGTGTAAGATATGGATGAGGTTGTTTTGTTTTCATTTGTAGTTTTTGAGGTGTTTTTATTTATATGGTTAAATGCTTTTGGAGCTTCAGATTTTTTAGTGTTTCTAGGTCATTTGGGGCAGGTGATGTCGCAGGCTACGTGTTATCTTTTACAGAGGACTTAAGTTGCTTGTATTTCCTTCTGATTTTAATGGCACATTCGTATGATTGATGCGAGTCTAGACATCTCCATACAACTAGGATTATTTCTACCTGCCCTCTGAGTATGGCCATAGCGTTGGCATTTGAAACACTGCACGGGCCCTGGTTTGCTTTTATAAGATGTGATTCAGATTTTCTTATTACATAAATATCTTACATCCCAGATACATTTACCTTCTGGGGTTCTACAGAGTTCTAAATTATAGACTGGGAGATAAACTGCCATTCCATCTCTCATTCTTTGGATTTGATTGCTTGATTGATCATTAAAAATGGAGTATCCATTTGTTTAAGTTCATCCTCTGTGTCCTGTGCAGTGAAATCTCCTGAGAAACCTTTGATTACTACTCTTAAACATTTCTCCGCATTAAGCAGATAAGTGTGGAAAGGTATGTTCTCCTTGATTAATTTATTTTGGATTTTTCTGAAGTCATCGATTTCGAAAATTTTGAACTTTAATGTATCGTCTTTTATTTTGCCTTCTATCTTATTTACACCTAATTATTTTATTTCCTGCCTGAGTTGCTTTCAGTTACATTTGAGATCAGTTATAACAGTTGGAAGAAATTTAATTTTTCTGAACAGAGCTCCGTTTGCAAGATCTTGGTTTGGAGTGGTTTATCACTGTTTTCATTATTATCAAGGTGTTCTTCTACGTTCAGTTTTTCAAATGAATTGTTCAAAGTTTCTTCGACTGGGTTTCCATAAGTATCTTTATTAAGATCAGTGTCACTACTGTTTTTTTAATGGGTATGGTAGGCCACTCATTTTCATTAGAAGCTGCATTTGCACTTTCATTATAGTTAAGATTTTGTTTTATCTGTTTGATAACTTCCCCCCCCCCAGTTTCAAGGTAAGAGGAGGATAATGGGTTGGTTGTATGTCAAATTTCAAAGTATTATCATCAGTGATGAAGTTGGCGAGAAGTGCACAATTTTTGTGAATTTCTGCTTCATAAGCTCTGAGGTTTTTCTTACCATGCGACTAAATGCTCCAATTCTGATATTCAAAAAAATCTCCATAACGGAGTATCTTCCTCAAAGTCTTCTTTAGTGCATTTATCCATATCTTAATTTCGATTTAAAAATCTATTTTCCATAAAACAAAAGTGCACATCTAAGCACACTAACACATTCTTTGTCACAGTCAAGGATTTGGTGGTTAAATCAAAACTTTACTAACCCTGGTCTGCGAAGTTCTAATGCTGAGAAAGAAAAAAATTCACCCTGTCTCTTAGAGCTCAGTGGTAGGAATGCATACTAAAAGTCTGATTACCTACCTGCACCTCCAGTTTCAACAGTTGGTAAAATTGCCATGTTGTGGCTGGCTTAATTTCCAGTATACACGTGACAACAGTCAACTTGTGCATGCAAGTACCACACAAATGTTTTAAGTATATATGGACTTGCACGCTCACTGAACAGTACATACTGACTGTAAAACCTCAGATATCTGTCAGCTGAATTTCATTTTTGTTCCCACCCTCTTATAAAAAATCTATTATTTGTAATAAAACATTCCTTTTTATTGTTATTTATGAACAGAACAATACCTTATCAGTCATAGAGATAACCAAAAAAATTTCTTTTTGCCAATTCAAAAAATTGTCAAATCACCAACTTTTTGCAGAGGTGTGGCTAATCTGAAAGTAACCAGTTCAGAGTAGAATTAAATTAATTTTGAATTCAGAATTGTGCAACAACACTGAACTTTGCTTTATAATTATAATCATTGGGAATGATATTTTTCATATGTTATGAAGGCTGTGCATTACCTTTGTTCTTCTTGAGTTATTTCAAGCTGTTCAGTTTGCTGTGTACTGTTATTTATTTAACTAAAGTGTCTCTTCTTTCCTGTACATCTGGCATAATTATTAAAGAGATGAGTATTAACCAATAGATTTCCATAATATTAAATGAGAATGGCCAAAAATTATATTAATAAGGTAGAAGATTTCAATAATAAATCCAAAAAATGCCTTAGTAATAAAATATTTCAACAAAAATGGTTATATTTAATAACTACACAGAATTATACATACACAGAACATATTATGAATGAAAAAGTTTTACAAATTTAAAACTAACTGAGATGATATTAATTTACAGCTTAAAAAAGGTTTTCCAAAAATTATCAATGAAAAGTTACTGTCAGGAAATTTTTTATTGGTAAGCGAAACCTAAAACTATGTCCCACTGAGAAAAAAGTCAGCATATGCAGCATATTCCTGTGTTAACAGGAAAGTTACACAATTTTTATACAGCTGTTTTTCATTAGTAAAGTCAATTACAATTTAGAATATGATTTTGAATTCTGATTAGTGAATCCCAAACTGATGAAAGTATAATTAGTTTAAAGCCTTCAAGATTAATTTTAGATACTGATATAGTCTATGGAATAAATTCACTAAGAAGACTACACCATGATAATAAAGAAATTAAATACTACATTAAAATTTAACTAGTAAATATTGTTACAAAAATCATAAAAGTATCAATTTAAAAAATATAAAAATGTCACTACCTATTTTTAAAAGTTTCATTAAATATAATATATGATTCATGTACCATAGTAATGAAAATGTAATGGTTACTGAATTCTAAAATGAATATGAATGCATTAATTCTAAAAATTCAGTATTTCAAATTAATGAAACTAGCAAAAATTAATATGCGAATTAAAAATAAAAGCAAGTTTTATAAATAAATAAGTATATATATTTATATATATATATATATATATATATGAAGGAAACTAAGTTTTCAAAATAGAAACATTTAACAATCTAGGCTGAAGGAAAAATATTTTCAAAGCTATGTTCTTATTACTGATCTAATTTGCAACTAAAAGAACTTAAAAGTATCAAAAGCTCTGAATTATATGTAAAAGCACAGTAAGAATAAAATATAAATCCCTTAAATAAATAAATAAACATTACCACAACTGGTGTTAGAAGAATAACAGTCCATATTGCTGTTTGATGTAATAAATACCAGCTTATTAATTCCCTGCTCAGATTTTCATATGTACTATTGCTGTACATTTCATTAGGATAAATGTAGCTTTCATGCTCTGCCATTTTTAAAAACCTTTTAAGTGAGGTATAAAACCTGTAAAAAGGAAGAACAATTAATAAACGTTTAAATAATAATGAAACTTGCTCATTAAAATTCTTTTCACAATTTATTCACTCTGTATTTGTCATCAGTATTACTTTACAACCAAAAGTTGTATCCATAGATCAATTTTCCTGAGAAAAATGTTAAATTTTCGAAGCAAACCTACCATGCAACTCTGATACTTATCTAGAAATATTTTAAATAAAAAAAAAACCTCTTCTTACCAAACAAACTGAAAAAAGTAGGTCAATATGTTATCAAACATCTTTCATCAGTGACTGATAATGATCTACAACATCCATAAAAGAAGTTACAGAAGAAATAGTAAATCAAAAGTATCCTGGTTACTTGCACTAATTTTAAACAAGATAAAACAAATTTCATTAAGAGGGTTTTTTTTTTTTTTTTTTTTTTTTTTTTTTTTTTTTTTTTTTTTAACTATTATGTTACCAAAAGGATAAGAGAAAAAGATGGCACATTTTACCACTGCTTCAAAATCGTATAAGTGGGCACAAAAACATTCCGTAATTTTGAAGAAATGGGGGTAACAGATTTTCAAGGCATTAAAATACAGTTTAACAACAGAAGTTGTTTCTACTCAAATAAAACATATTACGAAGGAATATTTAAATAAACCTGGTAACAAAATAATGGAAATAAAGAACTAAATTTAGAAATAAGTAATACGTAATTACCACCACTCACTTAAAAAAATTTTAATATTTAACAATCTACTTGCACACAAACCCATGTTAGTCAGACAGACAGACAAAGTAGATAGATAAAACGATACAGCATTTAAAACGCCGCTAAAAGTATATTTACGGTTACCCCTTGGCGAAACTTGACGATTTTTGGCGGTACATGGATACCGAGTTTGTGCAATTCTTTGACTTGTTATTTTGGCCTTGCGTAGAGTTGTGCCAAAAATTTTCGACCCATGCACCCTTTCCCCATTGCCTAGAACCAAAGAATTTGAAGGGAAAATTCAAATTCTTTGCTAGCGCTAGACTACAGAAAGAAGGGAAGAGAGGAAAGGGTTTGAACTGTTTTACCAAATATAACTCCTTTGAAATAATGACATGCCCTATTGTTTACCAAAACATTCAGTGATTGCCATTAAGATCAGCAGGTTTTGATATGTTTGGGGGTAAACATTTCGTCATTAACGTCGTATATATAACATATTTTCTTTTCCTAGAATAGTTCAGAATTCTAAAAATGTAAATAAAACATTTTTTAAATTTTTATTCTGAACGGATTTAAATGCTATACTTTATCCATGCTCAGAACAGATTAAATCTGCAGGAAATATTTTCACAAGTCTTCGGTAATTACATTAGAAAGAAATTTTAAGGTAATTCGATTTTATTTGGATAAAGATTACAAAAATTAAAATCAAAGTTTACTGTATTACTAACATTAAATCAAGCAATATATCTTTTCCATTTATAGAGCTTCCTTCTGAAATACTTTCTCAAATATGAGATGATTTTCATGAGGCATTTTTAAAATAAAAAATTATAGCATTTCATAACTAATCCTTGGTTCATTTCAAATTAGAAACCTTTTATTTTAATAGTTAAATAAACTAAATACTGCGGCTGACTTCTGATATTCATGTACTTAAATTTCTATCTGGGTTTCTGAAAGAATGAAAAAAAAAGGGGGGAGTTTTATTAATAGTATTTAAAACTTGTAATTGAATTATTATAAAATATTAGGAAATAATTCCTTTAAAATATTTAGCCCAAAGAAGCGTTAGTAATCTCAAAACGAGATTTTGCGTCGAATTGTTGCCACCAAAAAGTTGTTACCACCACCCTGTATTATATTTAATGTAATTAAATAATGAAGAATTTTCATGCATGTATGCATGTTTTTCGCCCTGTGAAAAAAACCATAGTAACTAGAGCCATCAAATTTTGGAGAACGTAGTCCTCTACCCGAATATAGACACCTGGAATCCCGAATTTTGACTTTCGAATTTGTTTTATTGTGTATTTCAAATTTCGTAAAACTTTAGCGAATTTTTGATTAACAAACTCAAATTACGAATTTTTGAACGCTTTCAAACTGAGCAGTGGCAACACTGTATGGAGAAAAAAAAAGTATTTCCAGCGTGCGAGAATGTTTATGCTTTATTTAAAACAATATACGGAATAACAAGTGCAAAAGAAGGATGCTAACTTGAATTTTAAAGCTATGCCAAATTCATTTTCACATTTCATAGCATGAATCTAAGATTGAGAGTGGCCAAACTTTAAACTTTTCTTATTCGTGTTTCAACATCCTCCGAGGACAGTACGCATGGGCGAGCGGGAACTGCAATAAAATTAAGACTTCGAACAGTCTGCCATTTAACTATCAAAAAGTTTAAAAATATTTAAATAATATAAAAATAATAAAAAAGAAAGTGTAAATTAATCTTGGCACACACCCTTCCCTTTAACATTTGAAACAATTTTAAGCCAAGCAGTTATTATATACCTAGTACTTTATACCTACTACTAGTCCTAAAAATTCAAGCTATGGAATACATAAAACATGCTGTTCAAAATAGCAAAACCGAATGCTTTATACTATGCTCTTATTTCTTCATAAATTAAAGCAATGTAGCGACTTGTTTGCTTATTTAGTAAGGAAAAGACTTCATTATTTAATACGTAATTGTGAAGTTATTTTATTGGATCGCTTGCGCACAAAGCTTGCAACAAATATTTCCCCAAAGTGGCAACACATTTTAGTTTGCCAAGACGCCAAATTCACCTGTTGAATGTAATAATAAAAAATTTCTTTCGAAATATCTCAAAAAATATACGCTGAAAAGTAGAGACTATACGATTACACAATTAAAAGTGATGAAAGTAGTTTTCTTAGTTTCCAGTAAAATTTAAAAACATTTCTAGCCTGGAACACATATGGCAGAATAAAGGATGCGTTAGAAGGAAATTTTAAAGTATATGAAACCGTGGCGCAAACACTGTGAATAACGAGACAGACTTAAAACTACGATTCATGGCGCTAGGAGCCACGAAAACAATAAACTTCTATGTCACACACGCCATGAAACTACGATTCGTGGAGTGTGTGGCATAAGAGTTTAATGCAATGGTTCTCAATGAATGTGCATCTGTGCTGTAAGTGCATTACGAGAAGCACAAGGATAATATAAAAGTAAAGGAAATATAAAAGAATATTATATGAATTAAAAATGTGCTGAATCATCCCAAAAGGGTTAAATAGTCGAATTTATCGTTAGGCCAACAACGACGCATAGCTGAAGCAAACTGGTAAGTTTCGAAATAACCGAAACGTTATTTTTGGCCATAGTCAATATTAGCATTTGCACTGCTTACGACGAAGCTACTTTAAAATTTTAATACTTTGCTTTTCGGAATCCATTGTATAGTTTGACTGTGGTAATAGAATATTTTGTATGACTACAAATAAGCGCGGAAAAATAGTGCATAAAAGCTGTAAGAACACTTATATCCTTAATGATATGCAAGGAATCAATGAATTTAAGCACGGGAAAATAAAAAGAAATATGAACCACCTCTTAATGTTACATAAATACTAGTACGCAAGATATAATAAATGCTAAAAAAATGACTTAATAGTATTAATAGAGCAAGACGGTGGTTCTGTTGGTTCTTACTGCATACTAGTCTCATTGTGTTCAGTATAGATAAAATTCGTTTAATATAATTACTTAAAGACATTTAAAAATTCTAAGCATCGTTTTTTAAAAACTAAGTCACGAAGGAGGAAATTTTTTAAAAATATTTCTCATATTTCCGGCTGAAACACATCATGCGTATTATCATCATCTTAAAGTCATTCGAATAAGGAAATTGAAAGGCGTTCCCAAACACATCTGCGGCTTAAATCAATGTAATCTGCGAAGTTTCATAGCACTTCCGTCAGAAATGCTAGAAGTCTTTTAGGATTTAGTTAACTACGATCGATCAAAACATTACTAAAATAAATATAGCAGAAGCCGCTCATATGCATGAAACAAGCATCATGGAGCAGTAGAACGGATCTAAATGAAGTTTTATAGAGAACAACTGTCATTAGATAACAAAAAATGTGGATTATAAATCAATCTTAGATTTATGTAAATGATTATATTTAACATCTTTATGGTGCTAATTTCAAATATAGAAAGTCAAGTACATTTCCAAAAAAACAAAATGCACAATTTCGAATAATTTGGTCCTGAGGAAAGGAGGCCATAGATTTAGTCTCTATAAATGCACTGAGGGTTTTAGATTGAAGTAACTACTACAGCTTGAATTTTACTAGTTATTAAAGGCTCACCAAGGTACAAAATACGTTTACAAAATAATTCGAATGTTTTGAAACGACGCACGTATAACTTGGAATCAATATTAACTTTTGACTACTCATAGAAATGAGACAAAAGATTAACCAAATCCAATAAAGTATATTTTTAAGCTTGCAGTAATAAAATATTTCTCCGTTCGATTTCCAGTTCTAAATATGGGTTCAGTTTTCGAAAATTAAACAAAACTCCAGAATCAGAGATGCGAATTTGTGATTCTTGAACTGTGTGTGTGATAATGGTAAAGCCTCGAGGGCTATCTGCCTAACAGAAGGGATGCCTTCGTGGAGGACTTTCTAAGGGAAACTGGCTCGTATACACGTTACACATGGGGAAAACCACGAAAACGCCCATGCAGCCAGCCCGTTCGCGGGATTCAAACCTCGGACCGAAATACCAGTATTCAGCGACTTTACCGCTCGGCCGCTGGTGGGCTCTGATTCTTGAACTACATAGCAGAATTTGTTTTGCTAAAACTATATATACAGAAAGAAGAATAAGATATAAGAATAATATATAAAAGAGTAATATACAAGAATAATATATAAGAAAACATAGAAGGGACAGAAAATATTTACATGTTGCTTGTAAGTAAAAAAGTATTTTTGAAGTTTTTTCCGCAAGAAGTACGGATACTATA